ATAACACTTGAGCGGAACTCAAGTAATTAATTTTTATTAAGTGTGTTATATCATTTAGTTATCAAAATATTAAAATAGAGAATTTTTCACTCGCTCTGATAATAAAAACTTTCGATAAGACATGTATAACAAGAGATCAGTCCGAAATAAAACTTACGTGTATGCATATTGTTTTTGATTGAGTAAGCATTACAAATTGATTATGGTCTTATTCATAATTAAAACAAAGTGATTACTAACCCATTTATTTATTTAATTTAAATATTGAGTCCTTTTTCTTGAACTCCAAAACCCAATAATTTTATAAAAAGAGTTATTTCATTTTGAATTATTTTGAAGCAAATTCATGAACAAGGTAATTGGGTTTTGGGATGGATGTTTTTTTTTTTAATAAATATTCTAAAAAAAACCAATTCTTAATCTTTTAAAAACTGAAATCTGAATATTTGTTTGGGATAAATCTTCTCAAAGAGTATAAAATCTCAAAAATTTAATGTCTTCCAACCCCTTATGAAGATTAAATCTGTAATATAAATCATCTCTAAAGGTATAAAATTCTAAAAATTTAATGTGTTCTACCCTACTATGAAAAGCAAATTCATAACATAAATCCTCTCAAAATTTATAAAATTCAAAAAAAAAATTAATGTTTTCCAACTCACTATAAATAATATATTAATAACATAAATCATCTCAAAAAGTATAAAATTTCAAAAATTTAATGTCTTCCAACTCTTTATAAAAAAACAAATCTGTATCATCTCAAAAAGTATAAAATCCCAAAAATTTAATGTCATCCACATCACTATGAAGAGCAAATTCTAACATAAATCCTCTCAAAATGTTTATAATCTCAAAAAATTAATGTCTTCCAACCTACTATGAAGAGTGAATTCATAATATAAAATGTATAAAATTTCAAAAATTTAATGTCTTCTAAACCGCTATAAAAAGCAAATTCATAACATAAATTATCTCGAAAACTATATAATTCGAAAAATTTAATGTCTTTTGCTAAATTCAGAAACCACATTGATGTCAATTCGGAAGATAATCCGTTCGTCCACTGAAATTTTTTGTCATTTTTCAGTAATAAATTTGGGATTTTATATGGTCAGCTCCTTTTTAAATATGTTGAATCATGTTTTGGCTCTATAAATACCCTAGACCTATTGTTGAACAATCATAACAAACAGCAAACAATTGATAGTGTGACAAGTAAATTGAGCTCGAAGATGAAATGGGTCATTCTTGGGGGAATTTCCACTCCAAGGAGGATCTGACCCAAATATATGATCTCTTTACGAGTGCTGTGTATTTATTCAATGTTGTTGAGCAATTACGAACTAAGATAGAATTAAAGGTTACAGGCACAGATGAAGAGTGTAACCTGAATTTTTACGAGTGCTGCATATTTATTCAGCAAGACTTTCATGGGTTTCATGCGTTTCCATTCCATGGAAGAGCATGAAGAACTTCAAAATGCTATTGAATATATATGTGTATATATATTCCCACTCTTGTCCGAGACTTGCCAGCCCAGAGGTTAACCTTCATTACTCATACCTTAAGTAATTCTTTTGTGTTAGTCTTTTTACTAACATGTTTGTGATTGTTGCAGAATCAATGGTGTTGCCAGAGTAACAAGTACTTGTTTGGTCTACTTCTGCTTTTGCTTCTGCTTCTACTAAACAATTTGACTGTGAATTTGCAATCAAGCTTGTAAATTTAGCTTCCTGAAATTAGAAGACAACGAATTATGTCGTCTTGATCCTAGATGGTGAAATATTGATCAATAAGTCAATTACGTGTAAAATATCAAAAATATTATCTTAGTATTTTCGTTAAAACAATATTGTAATAATAAATTTTATTAATAAAATTAAATTATTAAGTTTTATCATAGTGTTATAATATTTATACTACGAAAATGAATAAGTTTATAATGAGATTACATTAACAAAACTTAAACATGTGTACTTTATAAAGTTTAATAGTTAAAATTACAAACATGACTTAAAACATTATTTATTATAAAAAATAGGCTGCCATTATAATAAAATTGTACTTGTTTAGGCATTGTTAGTGTTGGGAGATAACTCTCATCTCAGCACTTTTAGCTTCTGCAACACACCTTCTCTCCTTCTGCATGCATCCATACTCCTCTCCTACTTATCTCTATTTCTGTATATATATGTGTATATAACTCCTTCAATATAATATACAAAAATAAGCAGTCAGTTTCTCACAAACGCAACAGTTAGAATGACAAGCTAAATGTTAGTTTGAGAGAGTTGATTACGAATTGGACATAGCAAATATAGAATTTAGATTTAGAATTATAAAGATATTTGAGTGAAGCCAATGGATGATATAGACTTTTTTATTTGGATCCAAAATCAATAAAGAGCTTCAATAAAATCTAGTAGCAGTTTCTTTAACTCTTGAATATTTTTATCGCTTTTCTCTATACATAAATTAATATTAAAATCATCATGTATTAGAATTATCTCTTCATGATTTACGTTGAAATCAAATCCTATTTGAGTTCACATCTTCTTATTCATTTTTTAAAAGATTGACATAGTTTGATAATTTTGTCTTCTATAACGAATAACGTGTGAAATTTCCTATGAAGAGGACCTAGAGTTTTAATAAAATCATAGTTTTTTTTTTGTTCTACTTATTTAATAATAAGTATAATTGCCAATAGATAAATTAATATCTATCATTTTTTTTTATTTTTTAATGTCCACCTATATAATTGAAGAGTGGCCATATGTATACTTACTTCTACTATTGATTGAGTCGTTAACCCGTTTGACTAACAATTTGAAGCATAAAATAGTTAACTCTCTAAAAGTAAGTCATAAAGTCTTAATTTGAAAAATATCAACTTACAAATGATCAAATTAAAATTTGTTCTAAATAAAATAAAATATCAACTACTAAAAAAAGTATATAAGTATAAGCAAATAAAAATCTCGACAAATCAGATTAAAATTTGTTCTAAGTAAAATAAATATCAACTATTAAAGAAAGTAGATAGGCCTATATAATCAAATAAAAAGTTAGAATTATGCAGTTGATGTATACAATCTAAAATGTTAATATTTATTATCTTAGTAGATTGTTAAAAATCTTATGTATTAATTCTAAATCTATATAAATGTAACGATGTTAAAACCTATACAATTTTTTTAGTAGGAAAAATAATTTTTTAAAACGTTCATTCTGTTCTCCGTTATATTATTCATCTTTATATAATTACTAGTTAAGGTGAAGGAACGAATCATAAAAAGAACTAAAAAAATCTCAATTTCTATGCTTCTTGTTTGTACGACGAATTTTGAATAGTTTGTCACTAATCTATACGTAAGTTAACTGCTTTATTTTTTGTGCTTATTTTGCTTTATAATTTCTTTTCTTCTTAGTATATCTTTATTCTTTTCAATCGTAGTATTCTCGTAATATTTTCAATTATATCTTCATTATTATTTTTTAAGACAGAGGTAAAGAATAAAACTTGAACTGGACTCAAGTAATTAACTCCTATTAAGAGTACCAAGTCATCTGGTTATATACTTTTTGCATAAATTATCAAAATACTGAAAATGGAGAATTGGTCACTAACTTCGACAACAAAAGCTTTCGATGAAACAATTATAACAGAAGATCTGTTCAAAATGAAGCTCACAACAATAAGTAAAGATTTCGGTCAATTACCAACGCTTCGATCTGAATTCATTTCTCCAAACAAAACATGTACAGGTATGTATGTTATTTTGATTATTCATGTGTGCATATTGTTTTGGTTGTTTAAGCATTACAAATTCATTATGGTCTTATTCATAATTAAGGAAATGTTGAATCCTTTTTTATTTTATTTTAAATTCAAAAAGCCCTAAATTTATAAAAAGACTTGTTCTATTTTAAATTATTTTCAAGCAAATTCATGAAACTAGGTTATTGGGTTTTTGAGTGGATGTAAAATCCATGAACTAGGGCTAATTGGACAGGCCCAATTTTTTTTTTTTTGGTTAATAAATATTCCAGAAGGACCAATTTTCAAAATTTAAAATTTATTTCAATAATTTTTATTTAGAGAAAAGGGCAAAAAAAAAAAAACAATTTTTTAAACCCAGTGTGCCACCATTGTTGCCAAACAAGACCTTTCATACTCGAATTGCCAATATACCACCACCATCAACCCCTTTGCAGAGCAAATTCATAACACAAATCCTCTGTAAAGGTATAAAATCCCAAAAATTTAATGTCTTTTAGTAAAACCCAGAAACCCATCAATGCCAATTTGGAAGATAATCCATTCGCCCACAGAAACTGTTTGTTATTTTTCAGTTATGAATTTCGGATTTTTCGGAGTCAGTTCCTTCTTCAATATCTTGAATCATGTTTTGGCTCTATAAATACCCTAGACGTATTGTTGAACAATCACAACAAACATCAAACACCTGATAGTGCGAGAGTACAGGCATATACCAGAAACTTCCGCTCGAAGACGAAGACAAAATGGGTCGTTCTCGAGGGAATTTCCGCTCCGACGAGGACCCAACCCAAAGGTATGTTCTCTTTGATGAGTTTTTCTGTCGTTGCGGTTCATTTTTCTATTTTAACCTTCGAATTTGAGCTTCCATTTGACTGTTGCATCTTTGAATAGTTTGTGTTTTTGGATTGCTGAGCAGGAGAAGAAATGTGGCTTACTGCATGTCCTTTAATGAAAGATTTGAGACATTTTGAAATGGGTTTATGGGTAATTAGGCGTGATGGATATTAGACTTTTAAATAAGAGTTCTTAGCTACCATATGTTTTTCATTTCTTGAATGTTCCATATTCTTGATTGAGTTGCTTGACTTTTATGTTAGGTATTTTACCCATTGTGGTTATTTGTAACTTGACATTATTAACGTCTTGAGTTGACATTATTGTGTGATGATATAGTGTTTTTCTCCAACTACACAGTTTTGACTACAATCTTGCGCGTATTTCATGTTTTTCTGTGGAAAGACGTTCTGTTTCGATTCCTTTACTGATCAATTTTCGCTTCACCTGGGTGGGGTGCATGTTTTAATTGATGCAGATCAAGGAGAAAGAAGAATGCAACCATTGGAGAAAACTCGGAATCTGCATCTGCAGGTAATAGTTCTGTAATGAATTTGTCATACGCAGTACTGTCAACTTTTCGTAATTGTGGAGATGTATATTCCTTTTATTTACTTGAAACTTTTATTTATGATTCTTTTCTTAACATTTTTTATTCTTCTATCTCCTGGACCAGGTCAAGGATCAAGTGAAGTGAAAAGGGCTTTATACCACTGCAACTATTGCAACAAAGATATTACAGGGAAGATCCGCGTAAAGTGTGCTGTCTGCACTGATTTTGATCTCTGTGCAGAGTGCTTTTCTGTTGGGGCTGAAGTGACACCTCATAAATGCAATCATCCTTACAAGATTATGGTTAGTATCCTGTGAATTATTAGTTAGCTTATTTTATGTGCTGATCCTGCTATGGTATCTATGATCTGTTTTGTCGATACATATTACTTGGATTCACACAAAAGGGAGTTGAAATGAAAATTTCCAACTAACTTTCTTTTCTGGATCTTTCTCTTTAAGTGTTCTATTGCTGCAATAATCTTTCAACTTAATCTTCCATGAGGAAAAACGACATTTAGGATATTAGTTTCTTTCTTCTGTTTAAATATTTGTATGATGCCCAATTAACTCTAGGTATAGTCTGATTCTGCAATGTTCCAATGCTGACTTGTAGAAGGAAAACTGTAGCCATCTGATTTGCTAATTCATTTATCTATTTTCATTCGAACAGGACGATTTATCTTTCCCCCTTTTATGCCCAGATTGGAGCGCAGATGATGAAATGCTGCTTCTAGAGGTGCTTCAATTTTCTTCTCTTCTCTTAATCTCTTAAAGAAAGTCTAAATAGTTCTTATTTCCTCAACCTAGTGTTTCATATCTGCAATAATTTTTAACCTGTTTTTTTATCAAATAATTTTGAATTTCAGGGAATCGATATGTATGGCTTGAACGACTGGGCAGAGGTTGCTGAGCATGTAGGAACAAAGAGTAAAGAAAGTTGTAGCGAACACTACACAAGTGTTTATTTGAACTCACCATACTTTCCTCTTCCAGTACGGCATTTCCTTTAAAACCCAAATTTCTTTTTAGTAGCGAGCTTCATAAAATAACTAGGTGTGGAACATTTTTCTTCTCTAGGACATGTCGCGTGTTGGAAAAACTAGAAAGGAGCTTCTAGATATGGCTGAAGGACATAGTGAGGATAATAAAGGTCTGTAATAACATTATACTCTTGTCCTTCTACTTCTGTTCATATTCTTTTGTTTATCTAGACTACGTACTATTATGTTTCTTGTTTCTGAGTTATTAGAAAAAGTCTTGCCTGCATTATATGATACGGCAATGACCCATTAAATAGCTAACTAGCTGCAACCCAAAATGCTGACAATAAAATGCTCGATTTTCTTTGTTTTTTGTTTCTTCTTGACAGATCCTCAAACAGACAGAAATTTTGGGGGGAAGAAACCAAGCTCTATGGGGAATGATAATCTAATAGAGTTGAGTGGTTATAACCCCAAAAGACAAGAATTTGATCCTGAATATGACCATGACGCTGAGCAGTTGCTGGCTGAGATGGAATTCAACGACACGGACACAGAAGAAGAGCGGGAGCTGAAGATACGAGTGCTGCGTGCTTATTCAAGGAGGTAAGCAACCAGTAATTTTTTGTTTTGAGAAGATATGAGGTCTGTAATGAGATTGATGTTTGCCTATAAGTTGTGGTCGGATGGATTTATAAATGAAAAGAGTCCCTCTTTCACTTGGCACCACGATTAAAATAAGCTTATCGCAGACTTGATGAGCGGCAACGTAGAAAGGATTTCATATTGCAAAGGGATTTGCTGTATGCAAATCCTTTTGAGAAGGACTTGTCTCCTGAAGAGATAGCAATATGTCGGAGTTATGATCCTTTCATGCGTTTCCATTCCAAGGAAGAGCATGAAGAGCTACTTCGGACTTCTGTTGAACAGCACCGTACTTTGAAAAGGATCCAAGAACTGAAAGTATGTCACATTACACTTTTATATTTAATTATTCCTGGCAGATGTTTTTGCTGCTATTTTCTGTTCAACGATAGGGATATAAATCTAATGTCAGAAAAGAACACTCTACTTTTAGGGAAATACTTCATTTATTTTCTTCCCCTTGATGCGTTTGCGGTAAACTTTTTCAGGAGGCTAAAGCTGCTGGCTGTCGTACATCAGCTGAAGCGGACAGATATCTTGAACAGAGGAGGAAAAGAGACTCTGCAGAAAGCTCCCGGAGGGCAAAAGAAAGTACCGAGGTTGGAACAGGCGTTCAGGGAGGTCCAAATGCATTCATTGCGTCGGAGTCAGTTGGCAAGGATTCAAATTGCAGACCTTCAGGACAGACTTCTTCAAGCCATCATAATGATCTGGACAT